TGAAAAATACTTCATAGAAATTTCACATATGGACAATTCTTTCTTCTCCCCACTTCTAAAAACTACCACAGATTTATCACTAGAGAGCTGCATATTCAATACAATACCTGATGTGGCATCAAATGTTGGATTTGATATGTTTACAATAACCTCCGTATCCTCCTTGGTAATATCTCCACTAGCTACTTGGAGTATAATGGAACCAATATGCATTTCATAAACTCCCAATACTTCAGTTGAAACAGACTTAATGAAACCTGCAAGGGAAAGAAAAACACCTTTAAACACTTCTCTAGTTTGGGGTATTATTCTATTTCATTGATGGGAACTTCAGCTTATCCTTTTGAGGAATATGCTCTAAATCAGTTTGATGGACCTAGAGAGTCTCTGCCTTTCTCTTTACTCCATTTCTGAAAGCAGGAAGGTGCAGTTTTCTTCCCATTTAAATACTGTGAAAGTGAAACCATTTCTATTCCTGTAAATTCACGCAATATAAATTCAGAAAGGACTCTTGAGGTTGTCTGATCTGACCAGTTTCCTGAGTTAACTCTTAAAACAGAGTATCTAGCTTAAGCATTGCCAGTAATGCATTGATCCCATCACACTGCTTTTGTAAATTATTTAATATTTACCCTCACAGATATAAAACTGCTCCTTACTTATAGTCTGATCTTATCTAATTCATATTTTACCTGCACACTCTTAACTTCATCTCACTGATACTCACAGCAACTGAGAAGAAAGAACGATATATTCTTACAAATAAGCCTCTGCTGTTGATGCAGTTCACTCATGTTTTTGCTACTGTGTCACACTACCATCAATTAATAAATGGAAAGGAAATGATCCATTCTGTATATCTCTGTATAGGAGATGAAAGGAACAGAAATTCATGGTATTCATAGTTTGTTTGGCAAAGTGATACTAAGTTCTTATTCCCTTTGAGTAGGACAAACTAACACTTCTGCTACCAGGATATTCTCTTCTATGTGATAAGACTGGCCTAAGAGATGAGCATGCCCTTAACAAAAGAAACTCCCTTTTAAGGTTTTTACAAATGGAGTTTAGGAGTGCCATTCCATTAGGAGGAAAAAAAATGCTCTGTGTCTTGATCACATTTCATCTGTTTCCTGATATGTATAAAACCATATTTACTGTATTTGCATACTCCCCTCCCCTGTGCCCCACCTCCTGCCCCTACACAACTTACATGACTGTGGCACTGCAGCATTGCAACTTTCAGCTAGCCTATGTTCTAGTTCAGTGGTAAAAGCCTAAGAGGAGAAGAAAAGGTACCAAAGATAGTATTTCAGAGTTTATATACCAAATATTTCGACAATTAAGTCACATAGCTCTTGCTGAGCCATCTGAGTAAGTAGAACAGTATGTAATATGGACAGCTTTGTCCTGAGAAGAACTACCTTAATGTTACCCGTATCTTTTGGACTTAAGAGAAAATGAACTTCCTGGAGAGTCTTCCTTGTGCGATGACTACTGAACTTGAATACCACATCAAACATTAACTTAGAAACAGTCGTCTTAGGAAATCCAAATCCTCCAGTTCCAATAGCTGGGAAAGTGATTGAATTCAGTCCAAGTTTTTCAGTTTTCTTCAAGCAGTAATTGATTATATTTTCTAGGGTCTGTAAAACACAAAGATCCTTTTTTTAAAAAAATTGCAAACAACAAAAACCAAAAGCAAAACCACAAAACCAACAAGGCATCATTTATTATTTGCTCCATAGAGACTATGCTGGTATGAGAAAAAGGTCTCAGTGCATCAAGGCACCTTTAAGGTCACTCAAGCAGAAGTAAATGTAGCTGAGCCAACAAAGCTAACTATTTTAAATCCTGAATTTCAGGATAGGATCCCAAGTAAATCTGTTTTCAAAATATTTTTTTTAATTAATCATTAAAATGTACCTTCAGGGCATGTCCTGTTCTTCCATCCCACACGGGAAGTATGGCATGAAGCACGGATTTGCAGGCCAGAGCGCATCCACTGGTGCAGACCACGCTCCCTTGACGAGCAGCCTGCCTTTGCTGTTCTTCATCAAACTCTACTTGGAGCCCTGGTCCAGCCTTTTCCAGCAAGGCTTTGCAAAGAAGCCCCACGCCGAACTTCAGGTCTTCGCCAACACTATTGACAATGACATCCGTCTGCAACAAAATTACAGTGAAAATACCTGTAGCCAGACTTCAAGTGAAAACATACATTGAGACTAATAGCACTACCAAAGCAACGCAGAGCATGAAAAACAAGATGCCAACTGAGAAATAACCTGGGTTTTGGAACAGCTTCTGAACACTGAGTATTTCTGGACTTGCAGGAAACTATGGTAGGCAGCATCAGACCTACCGTGAGTTCCAGAACCAGAGGTATTGACGTGTGAGCAGGCTGTCCATCCGTCCATCCATCCATCCATCCATCCAAGGAGAGCTGTCAAGCCCTCAGTGGAGGTAAAGTTGTGCCTCACCTCATCTCGAGTAGATGCCAATGTCTGGGCAAGTGAAATAAACCCAAACTCTGTGGTTTGCCTCACCTCACTCTCCCCAACCTTTCCTATAGTTCCTTGTGAAGAACTGCTGCAGTATTGCTACTTCTTCTTTAGCTTCACCACAGGATGCAAAATATACGTACCGTATAAGGTACACATAATGTAGCAAGTTTTAATGTCCCTTTTCTCCTTTTCACTGAAGTGGGATAGTCTATGCCTTATCAGAAAAGCAGCACCTCACACACCAAAACGAGGTGAAGGGAGGTTGTTTTGCTCTCAGGAAGTAAAACAGGCAAAGTCCCAAAGTCTGATGTTTGCTTTGCTTTTTTTCCACTGGAGATGTTTTAATTACAAGGTATTTTAAATGTGTGTCATATTGAGTTTCTTTACATCTATCTAGTCTTGCTCTTTTATTGGAATAAGCTTTTACAGGCACAAAAATAACAACTGAAGCAACTAATATTGAAACAACAGGACAATAATAATAATTTAGGCAGATTTTAAACTTGCAAAGTATAAAAATCAGAGACTATTGAAAAACAGAGATTTATCAAGATGCACTTTGCATCACTGAAGAAAAAAAAACATAAGTGAAAGAAACAATGTCAGGAGTGTGAATTGAGTCTTAATAGTCAAGATGAGTAGTAGTTAAACTGTTAGCAAAAAGAATGAAAAAAGAAAATGGGGTGGGGGGAAATGTATGTAGAATCAGGTATAGACTTTGGCAAAATAATCTAAGCATCTACTCTCCTATGGGGTCACTTTTCTGGTGCCCAGTAACTTCTTCATAGACTGTCTTTAATCTGTCCAAAGAGAAGGGAACTGCAAAACATAAGCTGCATCCTCCCTGTTAGCATCAGAAAAGTGCTGATTTCCCATAATATCCAACCTAGATAGCTATAGATCATATAAATACTTTTAGAAAGTACTTCAATACTTTCCTTTTAGGAAAAAAGCAAACTATTTCACGTGTTGAACTTAGACCTGGAGAACAAATAAATCTCAGGCAGGGATGAGCCATCCCAAAATTCACAGCTGCCCACTAGAAACAGCTGTAGAGAGACAGATCCCAACCTGAAATCCATCTGTTTTGCAGGCTTGCATACTCATTTAGCTAGCACAAAGCCGTTGTTTCCTTATGCAGCAATTGCCTTCTAAAACAATACAACTTACTGCCCTTCCTTTTCTATTTAAATTTACAGCAGATCTTCACATCAAGTTAGAGAGGAAGCAGAAAATTAAAGACCTACCGTGGCTTCCTGAACGTTTTTCACCACTACTAGGATGCGAAGGCCTTCATTAGTCGTAATCACCTTCTCATCCTCTTCTCTCTTCTGGCTTTCTCTTGGCTTATCGTGTGGCATCACCAGATTCAGGAGGGATGATTTAGCTGAGAACACTTTTTTTACTGTCTCGCTCAAAACCTGAACTGTTGCTTCTGCATCATCCACAAGATGAACCTCCTTCAAGCTGCTGTGTCCCATGGATTCCTCCAGGGTCTCCTTGATGGAGGATACAATTGAATCTGCACACGTCTGCAGCGGGAAGCCAAAAATCCCTCCACTTATAGCAGGCAGAGCTATAGAACGATGATTGTATGTTTCGGCTAGTTGTAGACTTTTCTTCACCGTCTTTTTTAACAAGAACACACACTTTTCTGCTTCATTCTTCGCCCACCTGGGCCCAACAGCATGGATGATGTTCTTGCAGGGGAGTTTCCCAGCACTGGTGATCACTGCACACCCCGGCTGCAATTTCCCGTTCTTCCTCACCAGTTCGTCACACTCCTGTTGCAGCTCTGGTCCAGCCGCTTTTAATAGTGCCTCAGCAAGGCCACTGGTGTGTTTTAAGTTTTCATTAGATGCATTTACTACAACGTCAACTAAGTAATTACACAAGTTACCTTTATACGCTGTTACTACAACTCCATCTGACAGAATTATTTTGTAGTAGAGCTTTCCTTTCTCTTTATCATAAACTTTTTCATCCTTCTGTTGTTGTTCGTGTTCTTCTTCCAGCCTAATCAAACAGCTAAATTTCTGCTTTGCCTCACAAACACATGAATCTTTCCTTTCAGCGAAGAACTCCTTGGCTCCTGGTTTATCAATTAACACATTTTTTGAGTAAAGGGATGAGAGAATTTTTTCAAACCTGGTGACTGCGTTTGGCACTTCTGCTCTTGGTCCACTCAGGGAAATACACGGTCTCTTGGTGTCAAAATGTACCGTCACACCTTTCTGCCTCAGTTCATGATAAACACCGGATTTTTCCTTCTCTACAAACTGCACTACCACCACTGACTTAGCTGGGATTACTTTTTCCACATGTGTGTTTCTATCCATAAAATCATTAAGTTTCTGACAAACTTCTGTTACAGTCTCAGAAAAGCCAGCAATAATAACCTTATTTTCTTTTTCAACAGGTTCATCAATGATTAGAGTTTCCTGGGTAGTACTGTACTTCTTACGCAAGGAGGCAAGAAGACTTGTCCACTGCTCCTTTTTAATGACTTCGCCGTCCTCCACGTTGATGCACTCATATCCTAAGCCTGTCTTTATTTGCTTTTCTGCTTCTAAAAGATCTTTGGGAGCATCTCCAAATAGCAACACGGTAGCATGCTCAAGTTCATAAAAAGCATTAATATTTTCCCTAGTGAATAATGTCTCTGACATTGTTTTGTTATCTACACGCTGTAGATAGCGGAAGACATGGGGATCAATGGTAACTGACGTACATGGCATGTTCAATACCTTTTCCAGTAAGTCAGCTTTGACTTTATAGACTTCCGCAGGTAATCCACACAACTGAACAGCTTTTTGTGTGTCATCGTAAGAGATCTTTAAGCACGGATATTCTTTGTGAATATTCTCTTCCAGCCTAGTGTTGTGCAGAACGGCATACTTCCCTGGGATCACGGACACGGAAATTTCAATGCTTTGTTTTTCCCTTTCACTTTCCTTCATGGCTTTTCCCATGCATTCCCTCACTTCTTTCTCTGCACTGTCCACTGCAGCTCTGTTGCCTGCAATCACCACCATCTCCTCAGAAATATCAGTTATGATCAAAGCAGCATCTTTCACCAGCCTGTTTTTCACATCTTCCCAATCCACTGAATTTACGTTACACTTTATAGCAATGTAACATGACATGATACGTGAGAACTCAGCAGAAGCATCTTGCTTCCATGTCTTGATCAACTTAATCATTGGGTTTTTCTGCTCAGAGAGAGATGACGATGGGCACAACATAATTTCTGGGTGTGCGCAGTCTGTCTGTGGCCATTTTAGCTCACAATGGCAAATTGCCATTTCCTGGTTTATGTCTTGGATCAGTTCAGCCTGCCTTTGTAAAAACTGCCAGACATACGGATCCAGTGGCACCCCAATGGGGTCTGGCATCTTGATAGCTGGTCTTTCCTCTCCATAGAGAGCTGTTCCCAGGGAGTGGTAATAGGGATGCACAGAAATCTGTGTCTGTTCCAGAAAATGCTGCTTTTCCAAGACAGTGTTTAGATCTAAAAGTTAGCACACACAGCGACAAACACACATATGTAGCATTAACTCCAAATCAAGCATATTACTCTGTTCTAAGAACTATTACATAGAATTTTATTAACATGAACTTTATTTTCATTGGAAAGAGCTATTTTTATGTCTTTTTAATTTCCAAACTACTGTGCAGGGGACAAGATAAAAAGCTTGGCTCCAACTAGTTTGGTAAATATGCTTGTGCCTGTATTTACCTGCACAGCTATGCCTTGCTCCCATTTACTAAGAAAACTCCACCACAGAGCAGCGTCATATCAAGTTACTGCTATGAAATACTCCTTACTCTCAACTTAAAACTCCTAGTGCCAGTTTATTTTTACTTTTTTATTCTTTTGCCATTTCAGTTGGAATGGACAAAGAAAATGAATTATAATGATGACAGGGATTTAAAGCCATATTACAGTGATCCATATTACATATTAACATACAAAATATTCTTCAGCAAATCCTGAGAGTCAAAAGAAAAACAATCACCTGGCAGATAACTTTAATTAAAAGTAAAGGGATTTACTAAGCCAGGACTCTCTTAACACAAGAGATATTTACCAGAGGTTATGCTGGCACAAAAATGGGACAGTGATTCAACACAAGGAAGAGTAACAAGATCGTTGTTTAGCTCTATTCTTTCCTGATAATGAACATATTTGACCTTAATTAGTTTCTGAAAACTAAGTGTGAAAGCTGAAGTCATTAACAAATCCTGCTTCCTCTCACTGCAAGTACAATTCACGTTGTATTGCAGATAAAAACCTCTGTAAATGGGGAAAAAAACATCAGTGGGAAGAATCCATGCATAATGCAGGTATTAAAATGAACACTTGGTAACATTAAAAAAAAAAAACAAACCAGAAAGATTCTGGACACACAGTATTTCTAAATCCAGAGCACTTCCCAGGACCAGGACAGCATATGCTGGCTTTAGCAACATCAAGCCAGCCTTCTCCTAACGCCCAGATTTGCAGTATTTCTCTTTCAGGTAGCCCTCCTGGGGTCACTTTGGTTGGGCGAGCGGCAGCGTTACCTTTCTGATCGCAGAAAGTGACGATGGCCGAGCTGTCCTCGGGGAAGAGCTGGACGCCCGACACGGTTCCCCCGCCGTTCCGCGCACTCTCGAAGTAGACGGTGAGGTAGTCAGAGGAGACGCTGGCTGGTATGTTTTCAGCCTTGATGCTCTGGGTCAGTTCAAGAAGCCTGGCAGTCATCTCGAATTCTCTAACTCTCTTGTTTTGTGAGCATTTTTTGATAAATTCTGTAGTATCTGTAAAAAACAACCAGAAGAGCAGTGTGAGCTGACTGTTTTTCAGCATTATCAGACCCACTTCTGGCAAAGAAATGAGCTCAGTCTACATCTCCCTGTATTTGGAGCAAAACTGTCTTTGGTGCCAAATAACTCTGTGATGTAACAAAAAAAGGAGGAATACACAGCCATGTTACTCTCTGCTATTCACTACCTCTATGCCTCTGCTCCCCTCTAATGCATCTCTTGTAAAAACTAAGCATTGCTCACTGCTTCACTGTCTTCTCAAACAGAGACTTTATATACTTCAATAATTTGCAGAATTCATCTCCACACTCAGTCTGCTTCTTATTCTTCTCCATCTAACTCAAAATAAGATAGAGACAATGAAACATTCTCGTCCAATTTCACTTAAGGAAGATGCCACGATTTTCAGTGTAACGTTTGGATCACAAGCATTTTCACAGAACTGCATATGAGACTTAAATCCTTCTTGAGAGATTACAGTCCAGGTACTTTTTAAAAACTGAATCTCTAACAGAAGAGGAATCAAGCTCTGAAAGCTATCACTTGCACATTCCCTTGGAAATTAATGATGGTGTTCACTCTGTCTTACCAATATTTTTTATAAAGGTAGCTACAGCAGCATTTCTTTCAGGTATCACTTCCACAGTGAAGTCATTATTTACTACCAGGCCGCTGATGTTCTCCAGCAGCATACGTAAGCATTGTGGACTGCATCCTTGTATGTTTTCAAACACCACTGAAGGTGAGGTCTCTGCAGACTTTTCTGCGATGTTCTCCACAGAACCAGCTTCCTCACAGAGTTCACTGTTCGGACCAAAACTCTCTGCTTTCTGCGAGGATTCTGCATCACCTTCAACAGAATGAGAAACAAGCCACATGACACATTAGTACGCATTACCCCAAATGAATACATTTTGCTTACCCTCTCTCTCCTTTCCTTTCCCAAGAAAAAAATATCATCTAACCAAACAAATGCTGCAAGGATGTTTTGGGATCCAAACCAGCCCAGATGTACTATTCTGCAGGGCTGCAGGCAGCTTATTTGGCGGCACAAAAGTAGCCCTGAGCAAACAAGTCCAAGGTCACTGGCATGTCTCCAATCAGAGACATAAGTAAAATAAAATAAAATCCATTGAGATAACTGGCCACAGCTGTCCAGGCATTGGTAAGAGTTGTGAGAGACCCTGCAACCTCTGATTCTGTTTCTTAGCTGGGGCGCAGGCATCTCAAGCCTGAACATAGCTCAGGACATCCACAGGCACCATGGGCCGCGATGCAAAGCTGTGATGAGCAGTGTGCCCTGCCATCAGGATGGCATGACAGTGCCGAAGGGTCCACGTTTACAGAAGGCTGGCAGGGATGCAGCAAAATTTTGCAGAGAGTAAACATGACAGGGGCGACCACCAAGCACCCCAGAAGTCCAGCAGCTGCTGGAGGAAGGCATGTCTCCAGCTTTCTGTAGACAGAAGAGGATGGAGGCAGGAGAGGACCTCCAAACAGGAATGACGTGCTTCTCCATGTGCCTGAGGTGTGTGGTGACACAACTGTCCAACAAGTCACAGAAAAGGGCAGTCACAGGCTGGTGGGGGACTGGCACAGGCTGAAGGGCACCCCAGGGTGCTCAAGGTGGCCACACTCACGAAAAAAGGCAGCTATCCCCTCTTTCAAATCACAGAATCATTATGGTTGGAAAAGACCTCTAAGATCATCAAATCCAACTCTCAGCCCAACACCACCATGCCCACTAGGCCATGTCCTGAAGTGCCACATCTACATGTTTTTTGAACACCTCCAGGGATGGTGACTCCACCACAGCCCTGGGCAGCCTGCTCCAGTGCTAGACCACTCTTTTGGAAAAGACATTTTTCCTTATACACAATCTAACCCTCCCATGGCACAACTTGAGGCCATTTCCTCTTCTCCATCTCCTTGCCCCAGTGAAAGCAAGCAGAAACATAAGCTCCTCTCAGTTTGGTAAACCATGCCAGGGAAATGAGCCTCGAACGAAACCCTGGTGCTCACCACCCTCAGTGTAAACCTCCAGAGCCACCATCCCTGGCTGTGGCAGAGGACACGTACAAATGAGGGGAGAGGAGCTCAGTGAAGCAGTCGTACACCTGACTGGGGACGGGGGAAGGAGGGGTGCAAAGTCTCTGCTTGCTTTTGCTCAAGAACACCCCAAAATCCCTAAATCCTGGAGTAGCACCCAAAAAGCCAGCTGTGGAGAGAGACAGGCATGCAGGGTGGGAAGGCTTGAGCAGGCTGCAGCACAAACAGGCTGCTCTGGCTGCTCGCCAGGTTTATGAACTCTCCCAAGGTACAGCAACAACTGATACCAAACCCATAACACTTACAGCTGCCTTGAAAGGCCTACCAGCATAAGCCCGACAGAAAGAAAACAAAAGAAATAACCACAGCAGCCTTAGCTCTACAGACACTACTTATTAGTTTCTAGCCCACTGACAGGAATCATCTGCTCCACTATGTCAAATGAAGCACACAAAAGCCAAAACCAAAAGCTAGGCTGACCCAGCGAAGCGATTAAGAGCAGCATCTGGAGATTTTCAGGTTGCTCTCTGGTATGACTGAAAAATAGCAGATGCCAACTTTGAGTACCTAATTTTGAAAGGAGGAAACCCACCCAAAACAGCACTGAACAAGACAATACAGAAGGGAAAAGCCAGGGTGGTTAATTACTGAACAACTTCCTGGCCTGTCTTGGGGCTGAGTATTTGCTCTTCATGGATGTGGGTATATTTGGGCGTGCAGCACTGATTTCTAGATTGTTTTCTCAATCATGCAGCTTAGCAGAGCATCACTGAAAGGGGACCTAACCCAAGTCACCGAGGGACTGGGGAGAGGCACCAGTTGCCTTTATAGACTCTCCTAACTGTAGGGAGCAAAAAGACACCAGGCCCGGGCTTAAGACCTTCAACCTAAGTGTTTCTACACAGATCTTATCTTAGAGCAGCTATACAAGATAAGGGAACTAAATCCCTTCCTGGAGATGCTGTATCACCAGGGTCAGGTTGCCAAACGCAAGGCTTTCAGCACAACTCCCCACAGAACTGGAGCTGTGTGTAGAGAAAAGCACCAACATTTTTGTTTCATGAAGCATCAGCGCACAGAGTGACGGATAACATTTTACCTTCTGTTTGAAGACTGCTCAAGGCATCCAGAGCCTAAAATAAAATGACAGTAAAATATCAGTGACTGATTTGACACTCTACTTCAAAAGCTCTGGTTAGGATTACAACTTTTATTCACCTTTGTGGGAACTAATTTTTCTTCAAATCTCTCCTGTTCAGCAGCTAGTGCTGTTTCAGGTTCTGTGACAATCAGCTTCAATTCTCCTTTTGCTCCCAAACACAGTTTATGAGACTGTCTCTCAAGAACTCGTTGCTTCACTAAAAAAAAACAAAAACCAACCCAGTTACAATCTGAATAGAAACACAACTTAAATTATAAAGTACTTTTCCACCATTAATTTAGAACACAAAATTAAACAGCTTTAAACTCATGATGCTAAAACAGCATGCACAAGGCTCTCCTCCTGAAAAGAAATGGAAGAACAGCAAATAATATTATTTCCTTATTGGTCATCTCTGCAAAAAACCACCAGAGATGCAAAGCTCAGTCCCACCACACATTTCCAGGCCAGTGCCTAGTTGGCAGCCCCACGCTGGGGCTGCAGCACGGTGGTCCCAGTACTGGCCCCACACCTCTCAACCCCTCTTCCAGCCAGTGCCAAAATGGCCTAGGGCTGCATGTCCTGAACTTACCAGCTGGGTGAGTCAGCAACTGGGAAGCATGGTAAAGCAGAAAAAAAAAAGTGTATGTATATATATATATATATATACACACACACACACGTACGTGTTTAGGCACAGACATGTATATGCGCATGTACACATTGACCGCAACTGCAGCAAAAGGATTTCCACCTTGCTGCAAGTTTATATAAATACATGCATATTATATATGTCATATTTTAATATTTATCTGTAACTACTGTATATATAAAGTTATATTAACATAAGCTTTATTATTGCAAGTGCCATTTACAGAATACTACTGCATATCAAAATTAATATATATGTATATATTCGTAGTAGGATATATATATTAAGTTATATATCTAGAGTCATTCAAATGCAATCTAGAGTTATTCAAAATGCAATCTAGAGGCTAGTATTAAGCACTTAATTAAAGCATATATATATATAAAAGCAATTACTTCTTATATATTCTCAATTGCATATTACTGGATGTATACGACATATTATACACCATAGATTTGTATATTACCTACTCGACAGTACACATTACACCACATGCGATAATTAAGTCAGTATATCTATTTTAACTTGCAGAAAGGTACTTGTGAGTTACTTCTGCAGGCAGCC